TCCTAGGTTCAACGCAGTTTACGCAAACAAATGCATTTTCTTTAATATTAATATTATTTTATTAAAATATAAAATAAAAATAAATTATTTTATGTATAAGTCAAAATATTATATATAAAATAAATTTTGTATTGTTATTCTATAAAATTATGGTATATCTATGTAGATAAAATTATTCAAGGAACGTGTAAAACATTATGAAGTCATAATATTTTAAAAGAAATAGTTTTAAAATATAATTTTAAATCAAATATAAAAATTTAAACCGAATTATAAAGATAAAATTAAAACTTTAAATATTTGAACATCGATTTCCTCAAAAACTATACTTTCATTCATTTTTCAATTTTTTAATATTTTAAAAATAAAAATAATTAAAAATATTTATAAATATTAAATTTAATTAATCTATATGTTAAATTAAAAATTATTATAAAATATTGAATTTATAAAAAAATTATAAATTAAATTTTAATTATCAGATAATTTTACTCTAATATCTAATATAAAAGTACCAACCGTAAATTTCTATATTTATAAAAGTATAATTCATCTAAATTTTATCAAGCACAATTAAAGTTTTAATGTTATATTATTTAATACTTAAATTAATATAATTTAACATTAATAAATAATTGTTAAGTTAAAGTAGTTCTGATAATTATTTTTACGGTAATTTTATTTTATTTTATTTTTAAAAATCATAAATATCTTTATGGATACTTTTTTTATTTAACTATTATTAATTTAAAATTTACATTCAGAATTTTCATTGATGAAATAAAAAGGAGTTAAAAAATGGAAAGCGAAGAACATTCTCCCACCCACCACGTATGGCTTTTAAAATTGGCAGCTTGAGAAAGCTATGATATGTGCTAAGCCAATTGCAAGTCTATTTAATATAATATTCAATTGATAAAATAAATTTTTATCTCTTTTCTTCTAATTTTAATTAATACCTGCAATTTCATATGATTAATCATATACTTTTCTTTTTCATTATTTATAATTAATGCTTTTTTTAATCTTCTGCACATATCTTTTATTTTTTAATCTTCTGTACATATCTATTTTCTCCTAACAAATTAATCAGGTTTATTTTTTTTTATGATTTAACTTTCTTTTTTTTTTAAAAAAAATGCGTCCACCTTTTTCAAATCAACTAATCAAATTACTTTTTCCTTTTTATTTTAGTTTTTGTATCATTATATTTATTTAATTCATATTTACCTAATAAAAAACGTATTGAATACTGGATATGATATTTTACTTGTAATATTATCAAGTTTTATTTAATAGGTTCCATTATTTTACTGCATGAAAATATTTAAAAGAAATAAAAATATTAAACTTTAGTTAAACTAATTTAGGCATCCACTATAACTACTTTTATAATATGTCAGGAGACTTTATTCTTTATTTTAGTTTTAGTTATTTTAAATGATTTTAAAATTACGTCTAATTTATAAAATGTTATATTTTCATTTTATTGATCTTCACAAAAATTAAAATAATATTAAAAAAATAAAATGAATACATTTTGGAAAAATCATAAATAATGTCAAAAAAAAATTAGACATATTAAGTAATAGTCAAATATTACAATATAAGAAAGAAATTAGAAATCAAAATATTATAAAAGTCATAAAAATGCAATAATATGATTTTATTATTATAATAAAAATAATAATAATAATAATAATAATAATAATAACTGTTATTATACTATATCAAGAAAATTATTTTTTTCTAGTATTATTGAAAAAATACTATGATTTAACATTTTTCTTTTCTAGTTATAATTATATTAATAACGTTGGACTTTTAAATACTATTAAAAAATTCTAACAATAGTTTATCATGATTTATCAGTTTTATAATCTGATTTTAATGTGATCATAATTTTTTTTTAATTGTTCTAGTAGTATCATGTTACTACTGTTTTTATAATTTTATTGTTCATTTTTTAGCTGTGTATTATTATTATTTTATAATATAAAAATATTAATTTTTATTTTTTATTTTATAAATACATAATATAATATTATTTAAATAATATGAAAATTAGTGTCCTAAAGTGTTAAACATATTAAAATAATAGATTTAAATGATTCTTTGATTCTTATACTTGAAAGGGTCTTTACATGTAAAGATTATTTAATCTTTATTATTTGTTGTTCAATTTAAAGTAAACAATGTTAAATAAATAAGAAACTACACTGAAACAAATGTACATATAAGACTTGATTTACAAATTTTTTACTCATAACTACTCACTTATAAATTTGAGTATAAGGACCAATAAGTAAAATAATGACGTTGTTATTCTTGTTAATGGAGGCCAAAGTTTCTTCTTCTAGCCTCTTATTCCAAAATTTAACTAACTCTTAATAACCTTAACCAAATTTCTTTCTTTCTCAAGCACTTCACCACTTTCACCTTCCTTTTGTCTCCACCTCCAATTTCACTCTCTTCATTCTTCTTCTTCCCTTGCATAAACTTCAATGAAAGCTCTCTTCTTCTTATAGGTTCTCGTTCCCAAAACTCAACCAACTCTCAACAATCTTCATTGACACTTTACCACCTTCATATATCCTAAACTTCAATTCCTTGTCAAAATCCTCTTTGTATAGCATAATCTGTAGCATTTATTTATGTTCTCCACTCCCTCATACCATCAAAATCAAGATAAAAACCAAAAATGACTAGTAAATTTACAAAAATACCTTTGACTTAAATTTGTAAGTTAGTTTCTTTATATAAAAAATTTATAAATAAGTCTTTATATATACATTTATTTCAATCTAGTCTCTTATTTATTAAACATTGTTTACTTTAAACTTAACATTAAGAACAAAATTGAAAATAAATATATGTATAAAAATTAATTCATAATTTTTTATACGAAAATATTAACTTACAAATACGAGTTAAATATGGGGACTAAAATACCATTAAACCAAAAAAATATAAGCATCCAAAATACAAAGAATCAAATTGTACAATGAATTTGGTAGATCTCATAAATGGAAATTTTTTTAATAGGATAAAGTTAGTCTTTTTCGTATTGACCATAGAAGTAAGATATTTATTAGTCAAATATAAAAAAAAAATCAGTTTAAAGAAAATTATGCAGAATACTATTTATTATATTATTAAATTTATTTTTTTATATTAATTATATACATATTATTTATTTTTATAAATGTTATTAGACTTTAGATAAGCAAGGTATTTTTTTCAAGGTTCAACCTATATTAGAACCAAATACTTTTGTGGAAAGTATGAAAAAATTGTCATTGCAGCTCTTAGGTAGTAAATTATATTTTAGTGTTTCACTGATAGTGTCAATCATTAATTATTTCATATTAATAGCTTAATATAATTATTTTCATTAGTTTGTCTTACAAATGAAAATAATCGATGATATTATATTATTTTTGTGGTGTTTAATCATGTTGTCAAAAAATACTTAAAGAAAACTGCATCATATATATTTGATTGATTTGTTAGATGAGGTCATATAGCCTTATATATATTTTTATAATATAGAAATCAGTCAAGATATTATTTTCTTCATATAAACTATGTCATGAATAAATTTTTTTCTTATTTAAAATAGAAATCAATGCAAAAAAAGTAAAATAAAATTGATAGAAACTAGAAAAATTATAACGTGAAAAAATATAGACAATAAAAGCTATATATACATACATATTTTATTATTATTATTATTGAGAGGGTGTTTAGCTAAACTAGCAATAAATAAATAAATAAATAAAAAGATGAAAAATTAGTTAACTAATTAAATAAAAAAATTGATAAAATTAGTTTTTAGGCTAATTGATAAATATAAAATAATAAATAAAGACATCATAACTACTTGATCACAACTTAAAATTTAGTAATTATATATTTTTAAAACTTAGAATTTTCTATTTAAAATCATTTATTTAATTCAAATTAAGATGATAAATTTTTAATTTTATTCTTATTTATAAATATTTTATTATAAAATGTTAACTTTGTTAAATCTTTCTCAAAACATTAATAATTTATTGTTTTCCAAAATAATGAAGATTATAATATTTTTTATTTTTATTATTTGTGATATATTTACTTCTTTTTTAGTATAACAAAAGTAAAGAGAGTAGAATTTAAAAAATTAAATAGATAAAAAAATACTTGAAAATTGAAGATAGAAATGCTAGTACAAGTACAATTAAAAAATCTAATAACTATAATTTTTTCTACTTTACCAAATAATTTAATTTTTTAAACAAATTTCGCTATAGTCATATTCTGCTAATTATTATTTTATTATTTTATAAAGTAAGTATTAAATAAAAAATTTACATTTAATATCTCGAAACATGAAAAATATTTAATAATTTTAAAAGTTGTAAACATATAAAGTAGAAGATTTAAAATTATTCTTATTAGAAATCAATAAATTATCATAAAATCTATTATATTAATAGTATTAAATATTATATTTTTAAATAAAAATATTATTTATTAAATTTTTATTAGATATTTTAAACATATTAAAAATTAACAAATAATAACTTTGAGCTTTAAAATTGTAATTAGATATTTGAAATGAGAATTTTATTACTAGTCTTATCTTACTTGAACATAATTATTTTTAATGTAAACATGTACTATAAAAAAATACCTTAAAATAAAAATATAATAATTAAAGCTATCTTAAACACTTAAACATTTAAACAAAGAAATAAACAAAAACAAATTTCACCTTTTCTCTCCACTGATAAAAAAGGAACAAATATATAATATAGCAACCTTTGAGAAAAGTATTGATTGAGCAAAGATACCTCTCGTTAAATACAGCATCAATGTCATAAAAGAAAAATCATAACATGAAGTTACACTTCTTTTTTATTACAGTTTGTGTGTACGCATGAGTGTTGGCTCTTGGGTTCATCGCCGATCAAGGTAGACAAAGTATTGTTTTTGTGTCGCTTTCACGAGTCACATACAATGTTCAGAAAATGAAACTTCAAGAGCATACTCTCCCTCCATACACTCTTATCCAATTTTGCTCTCAACATTCCCAAAGAGTTTCTTTTCCCATTGTCCTTAACCATTGCTTATCTCAGCAACTCACGCTACTTCTGTTTCCTTGTGAAGCATTTTATAGGCCTCCACCCTCAACTTGGTTTCACGCACATTATTCAAAGCACACCACCCCATCTTCCATTTCAGGTCCATCTTGTGACCTTCATTTGTCTTCATGTGCCTTTTGGTTTTCTTTTTGTTTTTTTCTCTCTTTTGATCATTTCTTTTTAATGGGTTGGAAGGAGGTTTTGCATTTTTGGGCTGTGAAAACAAAAGTTATTGAATTTAGCTTTGAAGTGAATAGTTGTTGATCAAGGTAGTGTTGGAATGGGACCAGTAATTTTCTTTTATGCTAGCTAATGCATGCAGGGTGATATTTGCTTTTGTGAAGAAGTTATGACTTGATATTCATATCTGGTAATGCATGCATGCTAGTTCTGGAATTTCCATTGTAGGCTCATTAATCTGTTTAATATTGGATGTTGCATTTTCTAGGCTATTAGTAGACTACAGTGTTTACTGGACTTCTGTTTTTAAAAATTAGTTTAGCTTTCTGTCACCAAATGATTGTTATGGTTTGAAATATTTCACCTTCTTGCTATCTAAAAAAAGTATCCTTTTATGATAATGCTTGACATTTCTTGAACATAATTTTCTTTCTATGTTCTCCTGTTTAGCCGAGGGATAAGACTTGGTTGTTGAATGTTGTTGTTCTTATGTTTCCTTTCTTTATTGTATTTTTATCTTTTATCTTTTATCTTTTTTCTTTAATTCTGCATAACTGTCAATACAACACTTAATGAAGTATGTTATTGCTGTTTTGTCGCTAGAATATGTGGCTATGTTTTTCTTTTTGGCCGGCCAAGATAATGCAGCTTTATGTGAATTAGTAATATCCTATATTGATACTTTTGCATAAGGAGTTTCTGTTTTCCTTGTTTTCTATGCAGAGGTTTACCGTTTTTATCGGTTGGATTTTGCTGAATGGAGATTACAAGAGTTAGCCAGTGGTTAACTCTTCTAGTTTTTTGTGTATTGCTATTGCTAAAGGCAGAGGGATCTTTTGTTCCAATCACTCTTGTCGAGAATGCAGTATCAAAAGGAGCTGGTGAGGAATTTCCACTGTGTCTGATTATAGGGAACTTAAATAATTGTGCTCTTCATCTCAAGTGTTACCATTTTTAGTAATGTTCATATACTAGTTGAGAAATTGAAGTTTAACGTGTTTTGCAGTTTGTTTGGATGGCAGTCCCCCAGCCTATCACCTTGATATGGGATTTGGAGAAGGGATTAACAACTGGATTGTTCAGATTGAGGTATGTTCATTTCTGCAAATTGGTACCAATAATATGCCTTTCATTAACTCATACAAAAAAATTACTTTATTTTTTAATTTTTCTTATATGTTTTTGAATTATGAGTATGGCAATATAAGTACAACTAGTACTGCCAACTAGATGGGAAGATAGATTGTTGAATTTTAGATTTAGTTTCCATCTGTTGGATGATTCTTTAATGTCAACTTTGGTCAATTTTTTTTATTTCTGTCCTTTTGAACAAACCATGGAAAGTTCTCTTTTCTTGCTAATGATCTTCACTACTATTTATTTTAGGGAGGGGGATGGTGCAATGATGTTACTAGTTGCCTTTACCGTAAGAGCACTCGCTTAGGTTCATCCAAGCAAATGGATGGGCAAATTGGCTTTTATGGAATTTTAAGCAATGAGAAACAGTTTAATCCAGGTATTGCTTACTAATAAATACATGTTGTCTCTCCTTATGAACTCAACATTTTTGCTTTAGCTTTCTAACAAATTTTATAAATTCCAGATTTCTATAATTGGAATAGAGTCAAGGTTAGGTACTGTGACGGGTCATCATTTACCGGTGATGTGGAAGAAGTTGATCCAGTAAGTTTTGCTAAATTAAAAGCAAGTTTAAAGTTAAATTCCAAGGAAAAACAATAAGCATTGGTAATTTTTTTGCCAAATTTCTTTCTGATGAGATTTGTGTAATGTGGTATTTAAATCAGACAACCAATTTGCACTTCAGAGGAGCAAGGGTTTTTGCTGCTGTAATGGAAGATTTACTAACAAAAGGAATGAAAAGCGCTGAAAATGTATAAGACATTATTGATTTCAAGATTGCACTTCTTTTCTTCTTTCTGAATGGTACTTTCTTTCACTAACCAAAACCTGTAACTACAGGCTATTCTCTCTGGATGTTCAGCTGGAGGGTTGACTACTATATTTCACTGTGATCACTTTAAATCTCTATTGCCTAGTGGAGCTAAAGTGAAATGTGTTCCAGATGCTGGTTATTTTATCAATGTGTATGCTTCTTTAGTTTGTTTTTCACTAACCCTTTTCCCTACATTTTAGAGTTTCTTTAATCATTTAACCATTTAATATGTTGTTGTACCACAGAAAGGACATCTCTGGAGCACCACGCATTGAAGATTTCTATCATCAAGTTGTTGCAACACATGTACTTGTTTTCTGTCTTTGTTTATTTTCCCCTTTGGGAAAGCACTTGCATATGCTGTGTTTTTAAACCAAAAGACTGCCACTAAAGTTCTACCAATTCTTGATTGAAAGATACTTTCTAATGGCTAAAACTTTCTTTTAACAGAGACTGATTTGCTTTTCTTTATTATTTTAGGGCTCAGCTAAGCATTTGCCCACATCCTGCACTTCAAAACTAAGCCCAGCACTGGTAAGTTTGTCACTTGTAATTTTTTCTTCTAGCTTTGCAACTTCTTTGGTGTTGCTAATACTTCTGAATCGTCATGTAGTGCTTTTTCCCACAAAATGTGGCATCACAAATCAGTACCTCAATCTTCTTTGTAAATGCAGCCTATGACTCATGGCAGGTCAGATTATTCTCTTGCTCAAAAAGTTTCAGTTTGTTTTCAGAGTGGTGTTCCTTTGTAATATATTGGTCATACATGAAACTTCTTAAGCCATGTTTTATATTCTTTCATCGATTGGTGGATTTATTTAAAGGGTGAAGTAACATTGAATAGGACATAAAAGATGATAAAGTAATGATCATAGGAGGCTATTCTATTACGTTTTCTAGAGCTTTTCACTAATTTCATGTATAAGGACTTATTCAGAGCTTGAAGATAATAGATCTAAGATATTAACCAAGAAATTTAAGTGTAAAATTCTATGGTTGCTTAACTCATGGATGGAATTTGTTAAAGGAAGATCAACTGCTATACAATCAGAAACTGACCCAAGATTACTCTACAAGTCTTCATAGTCTCTATCTTAGTGGATTCACTATGAACCTTTTGTTTTTGAATGAGAACTCTATGAAATGTAACTGGATGTAGGCCAATTATACTTGCCAACTATCAATAAGCTTAGTAGCTCGTATACAAGATGTTGTCATTTGATGTTTCAACCACTTATTGCTCTTAGTAAGTGTTGACATCCTTCTAGTCTTCCCTCTGATCATCAAGATATTGCTTTGATTCAGATTAGGAACATCTTGGCACCGGGTGTTGCTGATCCCCGTGACCTTTGGCATAGCTGCAAGCTTGATATAAGTAACTGCTCACCTGATCAACTTAGTATTATGCAAGGTGAGCATCTTCTGACCTTAAATTAAATAACTCATGCATTATCAAAATTTGTTGTACACGAAGGAATTTCAGTACACTTCTAATCAATCTTATACTGCTATCTAAACTTTTCCCTGCCTCTGTCAATACCTGACATATATAATTTGTTCACAACCTTTTAAAAAGTAAAAACCCTGGCATGAGAAAAAAGATTGCAGCAGGGTGATACCTGGTCACAATTTTCTGCATTTGAGAGGGAACTTTACAGAATTGCAATATTTCTCAACACTTTTTGTGACTTAACTTTTATGCATGAATTGCTTTTCAGGCTTCAGGATGGAATTTATAAAGGCATTGAGCGTGGTAGGCAACTCCCCATCTAAAGGAATGTTCGTAGACTCTTGCTATGTCCACTGCCAAACAGAATCACAGGAGACATGGTTCAGCGGTGACTCTCCACAGCTTTCCAATAAAGTGAGATACTGCTTTCCTTTCTCCCTTCTCCAGAATATGAATGTTTCCATGTGGTTTATTATTGTTATTATTATTATTATCTTTCCCTTTGTATCAACTGAAAGGCTAACTTGTATGCATGACATTCTGCAGACAATTGCCAAGGCAGTAGGAGACTGGTTTTATGATCGAAGCCCTTTCCATACTATTGATTGCAGCTATCCTTGCAACCCCACTTGCCATAACCGTGTTTTTGATCTGAAAGACCACCCAGGAATATAGATTTGTCTAATCAATGTATGAGAAAATATGGTTTAAAAGTTACAAAGCTAGCAATTAACAAAATAAGAAAAGGTCACCATTGCCCTGAGCTTATGGGGTGGGAGGCCTCAATCATTGATTAATGTTACAATTGTAGTCTTAATAAAATACTATATGCTGTACTACAGGTAATTGATGTGTAAGTTACCGATGATGTAACCAACTATCTTAATAATTTAAAATGTTAAGTGAAAGTACATTAGTGATTTTATTATATAAGAACTGAAGAGCCTGTTAAATAATTTTAATAATCTTATTATAGTTAGAAACTTTAGATTTTGAATCTGTAATATGAGTAGGGTCATGCATCAGGGAGCAGGGCCATGTATCAGGAACAAGCATGGCCATGCTTTAACGAAGCACGACCTTGCATAATGGAAGCACGACCTTGCATATTATAAGTAGAGCCCTGCATCAATTATAAGCACGGCCATGCTTCATCAAAGAACGACCATGCATCAAGTAAAAGTACAGTCGTGCATAGTGATTTTATGGCAGAATAAAGAATATAATTCATAAAATTTATAGATCATTTTAGAATTATATCAAGGTGGATTTTACTCACCAAAGTGATTAAATTTTCAAATTAATTAATTCTAAATTGTATGATCATAATGAAAACTTCACAATTTAATACTTAATTTTAAGGGTAGCTTGTTAGTCACCAAAGTGACTTGACTTTAAAAGTTCTTTAAGTATTTAATTGTGTGTTGTAAATTATTCAAAATTATTTGATGCTATATAGTAATATAAAGGGTGAACAATTTAGCTCATTAATTATAACGCTAGGAGATCGCCCAAAGGTGGATCATTGCATATGATTAATGATATTAAGGAGACGTGTAAGCACTTCATAATATGTTTGTATATCTAAAGATGACTTGCATATTGGTTTGAATAACTGGTTGTCGATTAAAATCGTTTATTAGCATCATTATAGATAAATTGTGTATTTAGGTGTTACCCAAAGGTAAACTTAGAGGCATAATTGATGACGGTTGGCTGTCTGAATCTATTAAGTTTATTCAAAGCATAAATGTTTAAGCATGTATTAAATATTTCAGTCCCTATGAATATATATATGGCATAAGCAATGGCGTAGTCAAGTTCAATAGGCTCAATTATGATGATTGGGCTGAACAAGTTCGATTCCAGCTAGGTGTTATGGACTTAGACATAGCAATCATTATGGAACAAGAGTCTGCATCCATCACAGAGACCAGTACTAAAGAGGAAAAGACTTTTCGTGAAGCTTGGGAAAGGTCGAACAGGCTGAGCTTGAGCTTGATGAAGATGACTATGGCTGAAAATGTGAAGCCATCAATGCCAAAGACTGAAAATGCTAGGGAATTTATGGCAAAGGTGAAAAAGTATGCACAATTGGACATTATTGATAAGTCTATTACAGGCACCCTGTTGACTGAGCTGACTACTAAGAAGTTTGATTGGTCACGGTCCATTCATAACCATGTGACTGACATGATCAATCAAGCGGCAAAGTTGAAATCAATGGGCATGGAGGTAAAAGAATTTTTTCTAGTATAGTTCATTTTGAATTCACTCCCTCCTGAGTTTGGTCAGTTCTAGGTGAATTACAACACCATTAAGGATAAATGAAACATACAGGAAATTAAAGTCATACTGGTTCAGGAGGAAGGGAGGCTAAAGAAGGTGAAAGAACACTCCGTCTATCTTACATTTCATGAAGAGGCTAATAGTAGCAAGGCTAAGCCAGTTAAAAAGGACAACAAGGACAAGAAGGATAAGACCTTATTAAAGGGTTGTGAAGGCCGAATCTAGAAGGGCTAAAGGTGCTTATTCTGCAAGAAGACTGGTCACTTCAAGAAAGATTGTCCGAAGAGAAAGGTTTGGTTCGAAAGGAAAGAGATTTCTTTCGATCCAGCCCATAAGCGAAACTGAAAAGTTTTTGTACATGGAGAACAAAATGAAGGCACAAATAGAAGGAATAGGGACTTAAAGATTGATCTTGCATACTGGTTGTTGCATAAATCTAGAAAAGTGTCTTTATGTTCCTGAATGTGCTAGAAATTTGGTTTCTGTTGCAAAGTTGGATAAATTTAGTTTTAATTTTAAGATTGGAAACGATACCTTTCTTTATATAAACACTCGTACTATTTTGGATCTGGTACATTAATTGATGGTTTATATCCTTTCAATCTTAATATTAAATTTGCTGAATCTCTGTTTCATGTTGAGAATGTTGTTAGTAGTAATTTGAATGTGCGTAATGAATGCTCTGCTTTATTGTGACATCAAAGGTTAGGTCACATATCCAAAGAAAGGATGACGAGGTTAATGAAAAGTGAAATTTTACCTCAGTTGAATTTTGTTGACTGGGATATATGTGTGGATTGTATTAAAGGAAAACAAACCAAACGCACATCAAAGAATCTAGCCACAAGAAACAATCAACTCTTAGAGTTGATACACACTGATATTTGTGGTTCGTTTGACATCTCATCTTAGGATGGTGAAAGATATTTTATTACCTTTATTGATGACTACTCACGTTATTATTATCTGTATGTGTTGCATGAAAAATCTCAATCAGTGGATGTCTTACAGGTGTTCATTGATAAGGTGGAAAGACAACTAGATAGAAAGGTAAAGGTTATTAAGTCAGATAGAGGTGGTGAATATTATGGAAAATATGATGAAAGTGGACAATGTCCAAGTCCATTTGCGAAACTTCTAGAAAGTTGAGGCATATGTGCACAGTATACTATGCCTGGTATACCACAACAAAATGGTGTGACTAAAAGGCAGAATCGTACTATTATGGAAATGGTTAGGAGTATGTTAAATTACAGTTCTGTACATATGTCTTTGTGGATGTACGCATTAAAGACCGCTGCGTATCTGCTTAATAGAGTTTCTAGTACGGCAGTTCCAAAGACTCCTTATGAACTGTGAACAGGAAAGAAATCCAGTTTAAGACATCTTCATGTCTGGGGTTGTCCAGCAGAAGTAAGAATGTATAATCCACATGAAAAGAAGCTTGATGCTAGAACCATTATTGGTTATTTCATCGGCTATCCTGAAAAATAAAAAAGGTATAGATTCTACTGTTTTAATCATAGTATAAGAAGTTGAGTCTGAGAATGCAAGGTTCATTGAAAATGGTCAGTTTAGTGGGAGTGGTGAAACACGAAAGATAGAAATTATAGAGACACATGCGAAAACTCTTGTAGTTGGTGTCTCTTCTCAAGTTATTGTTCCTCTTGTTGTATCATGGTCACACAACATTAGGAGACAACAAGTTAATCTTCCAAACCCACAAGAACAACATATAGAGGATGAATCAGCTGACAATGTGCAAGTTACAAACGAGCAAGAGGAAAGTGAACCACAAGAGATAATGTTAAGGAGGTCTGTAAGGTAGAAAAGACCTACTATGTCGAATGACTATGTGGTTTACTCACTTGAGCATGAATGTGACTTGAGCATTGATGAGGATCCAATCTCATTTGAGCAAGCCATAGAATGTTACAATTCTGAAAAATGGTTGAATGCCATGAAAGAGGAGTTAAAATCAATGAGTGACAACAAGGTATGGGATCTAGTCGAGTTGCCTGAAGGTTCAAAACGAGTCGATTGCAAGTGGGTCTTTAAGACCAAATGTGACTCAAAAGACAATGTTGAGAGATACAAGGTTAGACTTGTTGCTAAAGGATACACTCAAAGAAGGACTCTTTAAGAATTGTTATGACTTTGGTGGCTTATTATGACTTAGAGCTTCACCAAATGGATGTAAAGATCGTCTTTCTAAATGGTGACTTGGAAGAGGAAGTTTATATGGATCAGTCAGATGGCTTCTTGACCGCAGGTAAAGAAAGTATGGTGTGTAAGTTAAAAAAAAATCAATATATGGGTTGAAACAGGCTTCCAAACAATGGTATCTTAAGTTCAATGATACCATCACGTCATACAGTTTTGTAGAGAACACTGTTGACCGATATATCTATATGAAGGTCAATGGGAGCAATTTCATCATTTTAGTCCTGTATATTGATGACATTCTTCTTGCTACTAATGATGTTGGTCTGTTGCAAGATGTGAAAGGGTTTCTCTCTAAGAACTTTGAGATGAAAGATATGGGTGAGGCTTCCTATGTGATTAGAATAGAAATATTCCGTAATAGATCACAAGGGTTACTAGGATTGTCTCAGAAAGGTTACATCAACAAAGTATTAGAGAGATTCAAAATAGAAAAATGCTCATCAGGGGTAGTTCCAATTCAAAAGGGAGACAAGTTTAGTGAAATGCAATGTCCGAAGAATGAATTGGAGCGGAAAGCAATGGAATCTATTCCCTATACATCAGTGGTCGGGAGTTTAATGTATGCTCAGACATGCACTCGGCCTGATATCAGTTTTGCTGTTGGAATGTTAGGCCGATATCAAAGTAATCTCAGAATGGACCACTGGAAGGCTGCAAAGAAAGTCCTTAGGTATTTACAAGGCACCAAGGACTGTATGCTTACTTATAGGAGATCTAGTCAACTGGAAGTGGTTGGCTACTCGGATTCAGACTATGCTGGATGTGTAGACTCAAGTAAATCGACCTTTGGCTACATCTTCTTGTTGGCTGGAGGTGCGATTTCATGGAAGAATGGAAATGAGTCCATTATTGCTACGTCTACCATGGAAGCGGAATTTGTGGCGTGCTTTGAGGCTACTATTCATGCTTTGTGGCTGCAGAACTTTGTCTTAGGGCTTGGTATTGTTGATAATATAGAAAAGCTACTGAGAATGTTCTGTGATAATTCCGCAGTTGTCTTCTTCTCTAAGAATGATAAGTATTCAAAAGGAGCAAAGCATATGGACTTAAAATATTTATCAGTGAAAGAAGAAGTGCAGAAACAGAAAGTGTCTATTGAGCATATTGGTACTGATTTAATGATAGCAAATCCGCTAACTAAGGGATTGCCCCCTAAAACGTTTTCTGGC